CTCAAGTGTTTCCATAATAGATTGTATGAAACCAAATTGGCAGAGCACGCGATCAGTAGGATGTCACTCGATAATAGTATAACATACCAGAGGGACCTCCGCCATCCAGTCATCTAATGGGCCTCTCAAGTGATGTGAAATGCGAGTAGGTATCTCTAACTTAACGTTAAGAATGAGCAGATATCTATAACTTAACGTTACAAATGAATGGATCTAATATACAACGTCTCTCATAATTTAATAAATAGTATACAAATTAAAATATAAACTAATACTAAAAAATTAAATAAATAAAACATTCACAATAATTAAAATATCAGCACAATTTAAAATTGTTACTATATCGACAAAATAACTCGAGATATGATTCTCATCTAAACATAGCAACTCCTATTTCATTTTATAAATGTAAAAAATAATAAAAAATTAGTACAATAAAATTTAATAAAACAATGAATTATTAAATAATTATAATATAATAAAAATATTTTACATTATTAATAGTAAGATTAATAATATAAATAACGAGAGAATTTGATATTTGTGTGTGGTTTTAGGGTTGTGTTGAATGTGACATTTATATGGAGAGTGGAGTGGGAGGGGTGTTAATCAATATGAGAGACAGATGATTCGACTGAATTAAAGGAAATGTATAAATCATGATCTGCGTCTTCCATACATGCTAAACATTCAACGAAGGCAAGTATGATAAACTCGGACAGAATTTCGCGAAATTATGATTGATGATCCACAATTAAATACCACCGTGTCAAAAAAAGTACTAGATCAATAATATCAATAGAGAAAGTGTTTGACATATAATTACTTGGTATAAGGGTGATATTTCAATAGATACGCCTTATTTTTCCCTATATAAACAGCCCTTCATTCATCTTCCTTCTGCCCTCTTATACTATATTATCTCATTCTTTCTCTGTTCCTCGATCGAGTCTTCTTTTTGTTCGAAGATATGGCAGCCAGTGGCGTTGTTTCCGGCAAGAGCTTGATCGTCAGCTTCGGTGAGATGCTGATCGACTTTGTCCCCACCGTCTCCGGCGTTTCTCTAGCCGAAGCACCCGGATTCCTCAAAGCTCCCGGCGGAGCCCCCGCTAACGTTGCCATCGCCGTCGCTAGACTCGGCGGCAAGGCGTCCTTCGTCGGGAAACTCGGGGACGACGAGTTCGGTCGTATGCTGGCGGATATTCTCAAGCAAAACGGAGTCTCCGACGAAGGGATCTTGTTTGACCAGGGCGCTAGAACTGCTCTCGCCTTCGTTACGCTACGCGCCGACGGAGAGCGTGAGTTCATGTTCTACAGGAATCCCAGCGCCGATATGCTGTTGAAGCCGGAGGAATTGAACCTTGATCTCATCAGATCTGTAAGTCATTCTATCGTATTTTACACTTCAAATTAACGAATCTGTTGATTTCTTCTCCTCTAGATCTTTGTTTGGTTTGCCGCGCTTTTCATTTGTTCTTTATTCGATGTTGACTTTAGAGCCAAACACAATCGGTGTTTCTTACGCGCCGTAGATTGAGCGTAGCCTTTAACCTTATATTGTTTGCGGGCCCACGCACAGTATCTAAGCTCCGAAATTTTTGTCCTTTTTCATTTTTATTTTCAAAAATTTATGGCTTTGTTATTGTCACCTGCCATCGATGTAAATTGAAAAGCTACTTTAGCGTGGATGGTGCTGTCCAAATCACGTGCTTCTCTTTGGGGACAATTACCTTGAAAAATCCAAATGAACCCGAGAGATTTTTATTTATTTTACATTTTCGGGATTTTTTTAATTTAAAAAAAATTGCTTAAACTATACAATTGCTAGTGTTTTTTAATTTCAGCAAAATTTTGAAAAATTATAGAATTAGTATAATGCTGTCGGTTGGTTTGGTGGTAGATGTGATTGGTGAGTGAAGTATAGTGAAGAAATATAATTAGCTTACCTAACAATCACTATATAAATCTAATTTGAAGGCCAGAGTGTTTCACTATGGATCGATAAGTTTGATAGTGGAGCCATGCAGATCAGCTCATTTGAAGGCAATGGAAGTGGCCAAAGATGCAGGCGCATTGCTCTCTTATGACCCTAACCTTCGTCTTCCACTTTGGCCTTCGGCTGATGAAGCCAGGAAACAGATTTTGTCCATCTGGGATAAGGCCGATATCGTCAAGGTCAGCGACGTCGAGCTCGAGTTCCTCACCGGAAGCGACAAGGTGGACGACGAAACAGCCATGAAACTCTGGCGCCCCAATTTCACCCTGCTCCTGGTCACCCTTGGCGAAAAGGGTAGCCGATACTACACCAAGGTATGCTAAATTCAACTTCTTTCCGAGAACCAATAGCATAGAATTTGACTCTTGGCACTTGGCAGTGTCTGTCATGGTAGGTGATGCATTTATTTTTATGGTAGATGATGACTTTTAGGTGGAGGGTTTTCAATTCCCTGTGCTGGAACTGACTCAGATTGCCGAATTAGATATACTTCCTTAGATTAATCTTTGAATATATTCTATATATTATACATATATTTGGCCCATTACATTGGAATTGATGTCCTTTGAGTAATACCAACGGCTAAAGCAATTTACAAAGTGAAGCATTGGGGGGCCATATTTTGCATCTTGGAGTTGTTTTTTTTTAATTATAAAGGGTTGGTGAACGGTGGTTTCTTCAACCTGAACTCAAATACTGCGTGCCTCTGGTTGTAATCTAATTCCATAAAAACAATGGGTCCCAATGTTACATTTCGATGCTTTTTGGCATTGACACTTGGACAAAACTATTTTGGCTTATGTTTTGTTTTGTCACTGAAAAATGTCAGAAATTCCATGGGTCAGTCGATGCATTCCATGTAAACACCGTGGATACAACCGGCGCCGGCGACTCATTCGTCGGCGCTCTGCTATCAAAGATCGTGGACGAGCCGTCGATTCTCGAGGATGAATCGAAGTTGAGGGAAGTGTTGAGATTTGCAAATGCATGTGGAGCCATCACCACGACCAAGAAGGGAGCCATCCCGGCGCTGCCGACTGAAGCCGATGCACTTGCCTTAATCAATGGAGCTTAGTTTCTAAGCAACTTTACATTGTTTTTTCTTTTTTTTTCTCTCCACATTTCGACGCGTTTTGAATTTATTTTCCCTTTGATTATGCAAGCTGTGGTTTTCCTTATGTGGAAACCCTTTTGTAATTCGCAATGTTTTACTCGTTCTGTCACCATTCATACTTGAACTTGAAGTTAAATGTTAATGAATAAAATTTGATTTGATTTTAAAAAAATAATATTTTTTACTTTTGAATTATTTAAAATGTTTAACTTACAATTTTAGATAGTATTTATTTATTAAATAATATTATAAACTTTATTTTGAAATAAAAGATAATATATATTGTATTTGGATAGTAAAGTTATTTAGATTAAAGTCAAGGATAAACTATGTCCGTCTAGTATCTAAACATCAGTTTCATTTTAGTAACTAAACATTCAGTTTTTAAAAAATTATATCTAACGTTTAGTTTTCATTTCATTTTAATATCTTGTCTTTTAAAACTTAACATGTTTAGTACTTAAATTATCAATTTTTACATGTTTTAGTACTTAAACATTTAATCTTTTCATAATTAATGTCAAATTTTGAGCATGACACTAAAATGAAATAAAAATTAAGTGTCCGTTTGGTTTTAGAAAATATATGTTATTTTTATTTTCATAGAAAATAGAAAACGTTGAAGAAAACATGTTTGGTTGTAAAATTGAAAAATATTTTCAAAAAAATGAAAATAAAAATAAGTGAAATATGAAAACGTAAAAAAAAATGTTTTCAATCTTTTCATTAAAATTGTTTTCGAAATTCAAAAAATAAGAAAACATATTTTTTTATGTAAGTAACACTTTTGTGTGTTATTAACATTATATTCCTATTATAAATTAAAATAAATTGTGTTATGGAATTTCTTATCAACTTTATTGTTTTATATTTGTAAAATCATATGTTAAATTTATGTAATGATTTTTAATAATTATAATCTAATTTAATTATTTAATAACTATTTTATTCTATTTTATAAAATTAGATACCAAATATATTTTTATTATTTTAGTTTATAATTCAAGTTTTCATTTTTTTTATTAACCAAAAATGTTTTCTAATTTTTAAAAAATTGAAAATGAAAATTATTTTCTGAAAACAAAAATAGAAGATATTTTCTAGAACCAAACAAACCCTAAAATTTTTAACAGTGTGATATTAAAATGAAAAAAATCTAAACATTAGATATGCTTTTGAAAAAATTAAAAGCGTGGGTATTAAACAGATCAAAACTGATAATTTAGATATCAAACATATAATTTATCCTCGAATCAATTAGTATCGTAATATCTTAAATAATTATATTAAGGCAAATTAGTATCTTATTCTAACGAACCAGTTTTGTAATATGTCGTGAAAGTTGTTTTATGGGGTAATATTAAAGATCTCAGTTGTGTCGGAAGATTTGTTAAGCTTCCGAAGAACATGTTGGATCCGTGGTCTAACGTATCCAATTTCCATATATAGTACACTAATGTCTGAAATCCTCCCTGAAAATTCGTTGTTTTCTATGTTCATTCGTGTCAATATCCTCGACCCAGAAATTCTCGTCGGTATCTGACCGGAAAGTAGGTTTTCCGACAAGTCGAACCGGAAAGTAGGTTTTCCGACAAGTCGAACGATTCAATGTTATCAAGCTCAATCGATACAACTCTCATCCCATGTTATTAAGCTCAATCGATACAATCCACTTCATCATGTTGTTTTCGAGGTTCGAACAAAAAAACCCCGAAATATTTCTCGGGTTCGAACATAAAATCGGGGAATCTCATGCCGGAACTATAGCACAGATCCACCGATAAACCCAATGAACTGATGTACGACGACCGGAGAACCACGTTGGGATCAATAAAACAAGTATGCTCAGCATAAGTACATGATCATATCTCTATGTTCATGTTAGAATACTTTATGTTCATGTTTGAAGACGAGTAGGGTACTTAAATATTTGAACAGAAACAAATGCAACATAATAGTCAAGCATGATAAGATGCATACGAGCTTAAGTATGCCTACATATGAAACTATAAACATATAGTTTGATCGAGCTACCGACTCATCCTAGATCAGGGACCGTGAAGTACTCGTCGTCATCGTCCGGAATTTCGATTCTAGGCTTCTTAAGAGGCACGTAATGTCTGGTAGGTCGGTACAAGTTCGGGTTGTTTGACTGCGATATCGGAAGCTGAGGAACTTCGGCCGGTGCTAATACCTCCTGAGGCAATTGATCACCAAAAAGACCAATGTCTTCTAGCCACTCAAGCTCCCCAAGCTCATTCTGCAACAAGAGGATGAAAAACATTATAGGAAGCACCGGATTGTTATATCGATGTTACTCGGATTCGGGTGTGTCGACAAACATCTTTCGAATCATTTATCGTGTTTCTCACCTTGTTCAGAGATTGAATGTCCGAAAGCTCCAACAGATCATCAACAGCCCATGAGGATGCAGAGGTTGAGTGTCGTGGTGGAGGCATTTTCATTGAAGTCTGAGGTGAACTCTTGTTATGTGGCTCCAACACATTGCTTTCAGTCTTTCTATTGCAACTCGAACTCAACGAGACTCGGATTCCGGTGGCGAGGAACCGTCGATGATTAGCGGCGAGGCTGCCGGCCGGATGGATCGGTTCGTCGCAATCCCGGCAGAAAAGGGCCCTATCTTCAACACAAAAGATGAAAGCTGGTTTTTCCTGTACAACATATATGTAAACTCATTACCACAAGATTCATAGTCTACGTTACATAATTCGAATTCGAATGTGAGTGTCGGATACGAATATGTTCGATATTTAAAAAAAACAACATGAAATAAACCTGGCATATGTCACAAGGAGGAAGCTTGTCCGAAAGGCATTGAAGGAGGAGCCTTTGGTGTTTGCTTGCAAGCTTGTTAGCAGCATGAACATCAATATCACATTTAGCACAAAGTGCAGCTTCATCTGCACAACATATAACTGTTGCTGGTGCTCTATCACAAACATCACACTGGATTTTCATCTAAAGAAGTTTTCCTTCTTCTTTTTCCTGAGAAACAAACACCCAAGTAAGAGAAACCCAGAGTTCAAAACCTTGTGAAAACGATGAAAAACTGAAGCCAAGAAGTAAATAGGATCCGGGTATACCTTAAAAAAGTTTCCTTTCCACTTTTTTTTCCCGAGAAAAAGAGGAGATGAAAAGAAAATAATCTGGGGAAAGAGAGAATCGGATTGGAGATAAGGGGGATTGGAGATTTTTTGAAATCAAAATCATGAAATTTAGTGATTACAACGATGCACTATGTTGATGGATTGTGTGGCTGAGGACACAGCAATGTGTTCATGCTACCAACTGAAAACGTGTTTGGGGTCACTATTATTGGTGGATATTTATTAGGGACTTCATATTCTGCAGTCCTCTTTTGTAATTTAGTCTTATTGTGTGTTCAGTCCCTCAATCTTTTAAACTTTATAATGTAGTCCCTCATTTGATTTATAGTTTAATATTCAATCAAATCATATCTTTAAATATTAAAATTTCACATATTTAATTTAAATAAATTTAATTTAAAGTGTAATTCAAATTTTATTTTTAAATTTTGATAAATAGAGGGATTGAATTCTTGGAATTGAGCATAAGAGACTAACTTTTAAAGTTTGAAGAGTACACAAACTGAAGGCATAATTAAACCCTTATATTTCAACAACAATGTTCAAATTGTTAGATGAGGAAAGATCGACGATGGAACATGTGGAGAGAGTATAAAGAAATAAAATTTAATTTAAGGCCGAGGAAAGATACAATTGAAAATGTTATAAAACTTACAATATTTTCGGTTGAAATCAACTTAAAATGTTAACTTTTTCTTAATATATTTCGATTGAAAACTTTTTTAGCAACTGAAAATGTTACATTCTATATAACATTTTTAGTTTAATGTTAAAAAATTAATATTTTAAGTAGCGTCCAACCGAAAATGTTATGACTTCTATAATATTTTCTGTCGTGCCTATTTATTAACGTTCCTTAACCTTAAATTAAGTTGTCGTAGGGCATGACTACCCTATGCATGGACAGTATCCATTATCCAATTTATATATGGACAATAAAATTGGAGGGCCAAAGTTATAATTTGTTTCAATTTTGCGTCTTTTGTGATTTCAATTCTTTATTTTTAGGTAAAAGTAGAATATATGTAACTGTAATAATAATATCTTAATGATTTAACATATATATTAGGGTAAATTACAAGTTTAATACCCCAATTATCTCTTTTGTTTCATTTTGGTACTGAGCTATTTTTTTTCAAAATCATACCCAACATTATGTTTTAGATTCATTTTGGTGATCCACCGTTAAAAATAATAATAGAATTATTGATGCAGCATTTTTTTAAAGAAAAATCAATGATGATGTGACATGTTAGCATCACCGTTAATTTTTTAACGGTGAGTGGCCAAAATGAAATTAAAACGTAACATTATATATGATTTGGAAATAAAAAATAGTTGGATGACCAAAACAGAACAAATGTGATAGTTAAAGTACTAAACGTGTAGTTTACCTTGTATATTGAAAAATTAAAAATAATAATAAATATAAGGGTAAAATACACCCTAGGCCACTCAATTATTCGCTCAATTCTAAAATAGATTACCTTTTTATAAAAGTTGAACGAATAATAGTTGGATGAACCAAAACAGAACAAAAGTGATAGTTAAGGTACTAAAATAAATTATTCCGCCCTTAAATAATTAAGTGACGTTAAGACATGACAACTTACATCAAAATGGTGTCGTTTTGTATTCTTAAAGAAATTAAATTTTAGACTAAAACGATGTGATTTTGATTAAAATAAGATCATGTTATAACGCCGTTAATTATTTAACAGTAGAATGACAAATTACGATGAATGAAATAGAATAGATGGTAAAATTCATTTAAACGTATAGTTTACCTAATCTTAAAATCTATGTAACATTTTATAGTCGTAAATCTTTATAGTTTCGATATTATAATGAATATCTTTCTTTGTCCGTAATTTTTTTTATAAGATTTTTAGCATAAATGTTAGCATTCTTGATTTTATAGGCAAAACAGCATAAGAAGTTATTGTACTTTTGAGAAAAAAAACTAATTTGGCACTCGTATTATTTTTCTCTTTTAATGTGACCCTCCAACTCAGAATACAAACTTAATGTGATCATTAGACCAACTTTTTTCCATTGTTGACTGTTACGGTGCTGGCGTGATAGTTTACGATACTGGCATGACAATCCACAACGCTGACGTAGCAGTCCATATGTCATGTTTGAGTTATCAATTTAGTTCATCTGTCACGTTATCAATCATTGTAGACTGTCACGTCAACACTGTGAATTGTCATGTCAGCATAGTAAATTGTCACGTCAATACTGTAACGGTCAACGACGAAAAACGTTGGTCAGTGGACCACCTTGGGTTTATTTTTTGAGTTTGAGAGTCACATTGAGTGAAAAACTTGGTAATTTCCATGAAAGAAATGAAGATTTCTCATAAAACAAACATGACCAACAATAAGCAACCTGCTTTCACCATATATCATAATATTGTTTGTACACGTATACACATCGAATGCATGTTCTCTAACTTCTTAACCAATGACTTCCTACCCAAGTAACCAACGAACACTAAATTCATCATACCAGAGATTTGATTCATCTTTCAGAGAAAAAAAAAAGAATCATCAATGGAGAAGAAGGGCAATCATAAAGAGGAAGCTTTCTTGCAGCACCGGGCTTTGTTCATCGCTGTTCTGGTCCTCGGTTTCTTTCTAATGGATCCTCTTGAGATCGGACCGGTAGGTGGGATCGAGTTCAGGCCGGTGAAACTTGTCATTGCACCATACAAGGAAGTGATGGGAAGTTGGCCTAGAGACAATGAAAGCCGGTTGGGGAATGGGAGACTCGAGTTTGTTGACGAAGTTTTCGGCCCCGAATCGTTGGAGTTCGACGTGTTTGGTCGTGGTCCTTACACCGGGTTAGCAGACGGCCGCGTTGTTCGGTGGATGGGTGAAGGTGTCGGATGGGAGACATTCGCCATTGTTACATCAAACTGGTGAGCTTCTTTGATGTGCTATCTGAGGGTTTTCATTCATTCAAAACTTTGTTTAAAACCTTATGCTAATTTGTGGTGGAAATGATCATAAAATAAAGGTCAGAGAAGCTATGTGCCAGAGGTGTGGACTCAACAACATCAAAGCAATGGAGACACGAGAAACGGTGTGGCCGACCACTCGGGTTAAGGTTCGACAAAAACAGTGGAGATCTGTACATTGCAGATGCCTATTACGGACTGCTTGTAGTCGGACCGGCTGGCGGACTTGCCACACCAGTAGCGACTCACGTGGAAGGGATGCAAATACTGTTTGCAAATGATCTCGACATCCATAAAAACGGTTCGATCTTTTTCACAGACACAAGCAGAAAGTACAATAGAGCGTAAGTAAACAACAATACTTGAAACATCCCATTGTTTTTCTCAAATCTAATATGCATATCTATCTATCTATCTACAATGAATGGTTACTTACAGAAGATTATTGAGCAGGTATCATTTCTACATTCTGTTGGAAGGCGAAACGACCGGAAGGATTCTCAGATATGACCCTCCGACAAAGACAACTCATTTAGTGTTGGATGGCTTAGCTTTTCCGAATGGGATTCAGTTATCTCTGGACCAGAGTTTCCTCTTATTCACTGAGACTAGCAATTGCAGGCAATTCCATCTCTTTCTTTGTGTTCTTCAGAGTATATTTTTGGTACAAACAAGACCGTATTCTAACGTTAACACAAGAGTTACAGATAGCGGGATTCGAATCCCGAGTCTGCTTGCATGAACCAACTGGTTAACCCAGATGTTGATGCTTACTATTGGGTGCATTATATGCCCCTTTCAACTAATATGAAACTATACACTTAACACTTACTTGTACCTGACACTCGCACCAGAACCTTAATCTGCATGTTGATATTGATTTTTGAAATGGTGGCAGGCTAATGAAATACTGGCTTGAAGGACCAAAAGCTGGGACAATGGAGATTGTTGCACATTTACCCGGTTTTCCGGACAATGTAAGAATAAACGACAAAGGTCAATTCTGGGTAGCCATAGATTGTTGCAGAACTCAAGCACAAGAGATTCTGGTTCAGAATCCATGGATCAGGAGCTTGTACTTCAGATTACCCATCAAAATGAAGATTTTAGCAAGAATTGTGGGGATGAAGATGTTCACGGTGATCTCACTCTTCAATGAAAACGGCGAGATCGTCGAGGTGCTCGAAGATCGGAAAGGTGTGGTGATGAAATTAGTGAGTGAAGTTAGGGAAGTTGAAGGGAAACTGTGGATTGGAACTGTGGCACATAATCACATTGCCACTTTATCTTACCCTTGAAAATCTTTGATCTCATTTTACCTACAATATGTTTGGTTAGACCATAACCGTGTTTTGTTCAACTATCTTTCCTTTGACTATGAACTTTTTTGTCCTTTTTCTCTAGTTTATCAATGAATTTGTTGCAGTGCCGGGAAAACCGGATCAGAGATCAAACCGGTTAAATATTTTGTTTTCAGTTTAACCAGTTCATCCAATTGACTTATTGTAACTTGTATGGCAGCCCACCAATGTAAACAACGTTGTCGAAACACTTACAAGACAAGCTTAAGCAAAATTCAATAATAGTCGTAACAATTTGAATCCATCAAAAATGAATAAAACTCTCATGAAAAGCTCATACCTAACTAGTGCCATCAATGGCTCTGCCCTTCAAGCTATTGATGAAAGAAAACGTAACCGATGAAAATTGGACAATTCCTAAAAGATATACCATACCGAAGGATCATATAACTAGAAATAAATGTTATACAAAGAGATTGATGCGAAAGAACAAATGGAAAGAATAAATGTTGTCCTACTAGTAGGGGATCCATCGCTTGCAGACAATTTGCCTATAAAATCCTACAATAAGGAGAAGGTTCTTAACTGGTCTCCGCCTCCTTCGAATTTCTTTAAATTCAATGTTGATGGAGCGGTAAGAGGTGATGGGCTGCAGGGAGGTATTGGAGGAGTCTTGAAAGATTCGGAATGTTCTACTTTATATACCTTTTCTTTTGCGGTGGGACCTGGTCCTCCTATGTTAGCTGAGCTAAAAGCTATTAAACAAGGGATTGATCTATTCATTTCTTCCGAATGGGCTCTGAAGGGAAGACTAATCCTTGAGACAGATTGTAAAACAGCAGTTGACTGGATTTTGATGCCATTTTCTGCCCCTACTTTTTTCAATACTTTAGTTGGGGAAATTGAGGCCTTAGTTTCTGCTAGGGGTATTATTGTTAGATGGATTCCTAGGACATGCAATTGGGAGGCTGATAAGCTAGCTAAAGAAGGTATTGGTTGATGTTTGAGCTTTATGGTTGTTTAGGTTTGTATTTTATTTCGGACAGTTTATTTAGTAAGCTGTAATCTTATGTAAACATGGTTTTTTAATATAATGAGGTACTCTTTTCCTCCTTCCGCTAGTTGCCTCTTTCACAAGAGCCAACTATGAGGGAGGTTTTTAATGAGACCTCCTATTCCTATCAAAAAAAAAATGTTGTCCTATCTAACAATGGATTGCAACCAAACTTTTTTGAACAGGAAGCGAAAGGCCCATCAATACCTGGCCCTATGGCTCTTTAACTCCTAATCATTTGATGCGGTTGAGCTGACATCTGATGATGGACCATCTTTCCGGTTTGGTGAAAACATTGATGCTCTAACTCTCATCTCTCCCGTCTGATGGTGCTGCTCCTGTTGATGTTGTTGCAGTTATAGCTGTTGAAGTTGATGCAGTAGATGTGGTGGGATCTGGTGCTGATGTTTTTGAGACTGAATCTGAAGTTTCTGCAATTGCTGTGCCGTTAGAAGAGCCTGCATAGCATGATTATTCGGGTAGTGTTGCTGACTACCTCCCAATGATGCGTAGTTCATCCTTGGTCCACCATTAGACATGAATTGAGAAGTCAGCAATTTTAGATGCTGGATTTCTTCTTTCAGTGCATCATTCAATGCTATCAGATAACAAAAAAAGGCGAAAGCATCACTAATGAAGGCAACAATAAAAGCATCTCGAGCTTTGATGAGGTGCTCAGGGTAAAACGAGAGGCATTTTATTCCCAACTAATATGCAAGCCAAAAGTTGAAAAATCTACTTTAATAACCATTCAAGTACATTGTAATAACATCTTTTTCTATACACGTAAAGTGTCGGAGGTACTGTTAAGTGTAAAATGCACATCAATAAGCAGTGCATGGAAGGTGTGTCTATACAAAGAACACACATCCAGCGTATTGCAGATTCAGTCTACTTCTTTTTCTCTGATTGCAATTCAACCAAATTCTCACATGCAAAATCTTTCAAACTTTTTTACGTCATGATGAAGTGGTAATAGACAAAAAGAATAAGAAAATGCAATACGGAAAAGCGATTGTTATTCGAATGATGTATATCAAGAGGTGCTCACAATCTTGCAAGTAAACCTGTTGCTCCATTGTTTGCAACCGCAGTTTCAGCTCACTATTTTCAGCAGTCAGGCCAGTGGAGTCTCTCTGCTCATAAGTTACCATGGGAAGAGTCAAATGAACCACATTCGATCTAAATAAAAAAGAACACATAAACGTCGAAGTACAAACACAAGAAAAGAAGGCCCAGAACTAATGCAAATACCTGTAATAGAGTCAGCTGAGCAGAGAGTGTCGTTGCTTCTGTTTGCAGCCTCTGTATTTTCCGCTCAAGCTCAGCTATATGTCGTATCTTTCTTTCCTTTGACCTTGCAGCAGACTGCCTATTTGCCCAGATCCTATCACATAGCATAGAAAATAAAGGTGGTGCCAAAGAAAAATATATCAGAGTAACAACATACATTCCAGTTCTAGAGGCGACGAAATCCGATAGAAAGACAAAGATTCCTTAAATGAGAGGGAAAGAACAGGAACAGAAGGAGAATCATCAAAAGAAAAACATGGGGAGATAAAGAAATCAACTATAACATAAGCATCTGCACTAGCTTCAAATTAAAACATATAGTTTCATGGTCTCTTTGCTACCATATCTTTATCGAACTGGTTTCAACCAGGCAGCAAGTCATTCAATTCTCGAGTTCAATCCCACGACAAAAAACATTATATGGAGTAACTTCAATAACAAGTAACACATCCTTATTTACTCTACATTCGGTCATGACTTGCGACCAAACTCATAAAGACGAACTTGTCGTCATTAAAACAATTAAAGGAAACAATCCTAACCTACCAATAGCCAAAATCCACAAACTTTCCTAATAAAACATGAACATTTTATGTCAATTCATATAGAAAAAATGGCATGGCGGTAAAATTCCATTCAGTAAACAATATAAGAATTCGAAACGACAAGATAACAGAAAGAAAACACCTCTTAGCACGCTTGGGGTCAACAAGAGCAAGCTCAGCAAACTTAGTATCGGACATTGCTTTCTTAGACTCAGCCGGCGAAGCCTCCGCCAAGCCAGACACAAGCATTTCCGGCTTAATGCTTGTCGACCCATCCATCGACAGGCTATGTTGGTGCCTACCACTAGGCTTCCTAGAAGACCCAACACCGTTACTCGCATTTTCCTCACCCGACGTCCACGTCCCTCCTCCCGTACCCGCCGCAGCCGACGGAGCTGCCGTTTATGAAGACTTAACGACCTGAGAAGACGAGATGACAGAAGAAGAATTGAACTTGTTTATATCGAGATACGCAGACAAAATTTCCTCCTCCGTTTCGTCAGGCAAAGGCCCGTCGGTTACGGTTGCTCCCCCAACGACGGGATCACTGTCGAAGTTGAGATCATCCGGGAGAGTTATGATTTCGGAATGGGCACGACGGTGGCCTAATTTCTTCGGTGGATTATCAGGCATTTTGCTTATATCGTGACTGAAACGATTCGAATCCGAAGTTTGACTTGAATTTACCGGTTCGGGTTTCGCATTTGACGTGTTACTAGCATTTCCGGCAGATGATAACCCCGAGACTCGACCTGCCGTCGGCGGTAAGCCTGGTGATTTATCCTTCTCCATTTTAATATATAAAACTATAGAAACTCAAAAAAACAAAAACAAAAACGACTTATACAAAGGAATTACGTGAAAAAGCAAAACCAGGAACACCAAAGATCTAACGGGCAGGACAATTACAAAGGAGTTACGTGAAAAGTAAAAAAACAAACTGAGAATTCGGTCAAGGAAATGGGAAAAAAAATGGGAAAGGAAGAAGATTTTCCGGGGAACTGAAATGGGTTTTCAGGGGCAAGAAAATCGACACAAGATCTTCAAACTAAACAATGGAGAAGAAAAATGGCAGGAAATCACTCAGAAAATAAAATAAAAAAAGAGTAAAAGAGACGAAAAAGAAATGGGAAGAAAGAGAAGGGAATTGGAGAGGAGGAATCGAAGAAAGGCATTGATTGATCAAATGAACGAGGAGACTGTCATCGAACCAGAGAAAATCAAATGGTGGGAATTGGGAAATGAAAGGAAAATAAAAACATTTCCCGGGAACGGAGAAAATTCTATTTTACTATTGGGTAAATTATATCTTTATCACTTAAATTATTATTTTTATTCTATTATAATACTTAAATTTATTTTTATAAAATAATATTTAAATTTATGTTTAAGTTTGATATATTGTCGTTAAAAATTTAATGATGATGTTGACGTATTATCATACATAATTTTATATCATCATTGAAAAATAAATAAAATATTACATCATTAATTCTAGTAATTTTTTTATCGATAAATATCAGGATGAAACATAAACTAAACGTTAGTCATTATTTTTTTAGGCATAAAATTTGAGTTCCAAAATGGAACAAAAGTAATAGTATGTACCTTAACTTATAAATAATGATAAAATTAAAGATAAACAATTCAAATGTTCACTTAATTATAGTGTCGATGTCGATAGAATCATCATATTTTCAATTTTAATAATATGATCGTAAAATTATTTAAATAATTTAATATAATTATTTATCATTAAAAGTAAATGATTTAACTGATGTGATTATTATTAATTAATGACGGTCAAAGTTCACGGTCATTTAAACAGTCAATTTTTAACAACAAATGACTAACATTAAAGCTATTTAAATAATTATATAATCATATTATCAAAATTAAAAATATAATATTATATCAACACTAACTCTATAATTAAATAGTGATTTAGGTAGTTTACCCTAAAACTAATACCTATAAAAAAATTTATAACACAAAAAATATTTAAATTTATGATAAGAATATAATATTTATAAGAATATACTGGACATCAATTAAACTAAAAAAATACATAAGAAATACTGTTCTAAGCAAGAACATACAAAAATTTCATTAAAATAAAAAATATATTTAATAGTATTTAAAGCCTCAAATTTGGGTTGCAGCCCTTGAATTTTTTACACTAAATGTAACCCTTAATCTAAAAAAAAATAATGTAATCTTTTAACCAACAGAATCAAATATTGATTGTCATGACGCTTAAATGGTAATAAAAAATGTTGATGTGATTGTTCACAATGGACAATGATGTGATAAATGCGTTTAATTGGTTTTTGCTAAGTTCGAGGGCCTAATTATTTTTTGTAGAAAGTTTGAGAACTTATCTAGTTTTTTAGAAAAAATACTTAAATTTAAAATATAAAATATAAACAATTATTAAGATATTCAATACGTTTAATATTGAAATACTAAAAAATTAAATTATTTTTTAAAAAATAGTTAAAGGGTCACCTTGAGTATAAAAATTTTAGGGACCATATTGATTTTTTTACTAAAGTTTGAAAGTTTACGGACCACTAGGTCAAAAAATTATTGTTAGAAAGATTTGAATCTATACAAGTTAAGTTAAAAATCAAGATCTCGTGTTTGAAGATGTTTAACACAAATATAAATAAACAATATATATATGCGTAAAGCTTATCTTCAGTCACTCAACAAGTGCATGTTTAACACAAATATAAATAAACCATATATATATACACGTATTTGTGATACGTTATCGCGCTTCATCATTCGTGTCTTTCCTAATATATTATCGCAGTATAGAGGGTGTCGTTTTAATAAATAATTAGTTATAAAGGTTATTTTGTATTTAATTTTTGGATAAATGATGCATTTAATACCTAAATTATTAATTTTAGTTCGTTTTAATACATAATTTTTTTTATTTTTCAAAAGCATACATAAAATTTAATTTTTGTTTCATTTTAGTACCCACCGTTAAAAGCTTTAATTTTTGTTTCATTTCAGTACCATGTTCAAAATTTAATGTTAAATTCTGATTTTTTTTAAAAAAAAATTAGATACTAAAACATGCCAAAAATGAAATAG